TTCTTCTTACTTTACCATCCTGCTGCTCTTGAGATAAGCCCCAGTGAAACTCTAACCTCAAAAGAAAACCACTACATGTGATAAGAACAAAGCCTTTCCCAGCCTCCTTTTAAGCAGGTCTTGCCCAGCACTGAGGCTATATAAGGGGCTAGGTGCCATTATTTTCTTCAGGTGTGGGGGTTATGCGTCTGACTGGGGATGTGTAGGCCAGGGAACAACATTCTTAAGTAATCCTAGAAGTTTTTGAGGTGAGACTATTATTTTTTGCTTCAATGGTTTTTATTTTTGAAAGCAATTTAATTTAATAAGTGTGTTTTCACGTATGCTGAAAAAAAAAAGTGGTTTGGTAGCTTGCTTTGATATATTACCACTAAATATTTTTGCTAGAATAGTTTAAGTTGATATCTTAATATATTTTGCTTTTTTTTATTAATAAAAAACCAAGCTTTGTTTGCTTAAATAGTCTCACGTTGGGGATGAGGGATATTAATTTAGCTAAACTGAGAATTCAACTTTTAGTGTTTTTTAGTGTGACTCAGTTTCCAAAGTCAATATTTTTTTTCCCTGAAGGACTAACGATTCTCATTTTAATGGGGAAACTTAAGCTGAAGAAAATTGTACAGTTAATTTGGGTTTTTTCTTGTAAAACGCACCCTGCTAACCTGCCATCTGGTACTACTGGCAGTAAATGTAGTCATGAGAAATTCTAGCTTTAACAAGATTTAGTAGCAATTGGGGTTGTCTCATTACTTGTTAAAAGCGTGCAAGACATTCTTCTCACTGTGGAGTTGTATATAAACTATTTAAGTCAAATGGCACTTGTCACAGTAGAAAAAAAGTGCATTTTGTGTCATGAACTCTTCGATGTGGGGTTTTTTTCAATTATAGAAGTTTTCTTTCTCACTGCTTCAGAAAGTGCTGTGATACAAAGGATGTCCTGGCCATTAGCTTAAGTTAGCAATGTTCTGCTGTATTGTTCATTTACTTTGCCCAAGAACACTTTTTTAATTGCATGAAAGCCTCTTGGGTTGTTTGAGCTGGGATGCCACCCTTGCTCTAGGATTGGGTCCTTGTCCAGAGGCTTTAAAAAACCAAAACTGAAGCTGGCAATTTATTACCAGTTTGCTGCTCTCTGATTGGGAAGCTTAGTGTATGTTTGGTGTGTTTGAAGATGGGAAGCTCCTCTCAGAGGGAAAGCTTTGATTTGCTGAGTGGGAGGAGCTTCCTATCTTCAAAGAATAGCTCTGCCACAAAATGGGACTCAGATTGACACACTGCCCCTTCTGTGCTGGGTTTACCCCATTCAGCATAAACGATTGCTAGTTTAAGCACTAGTCTTGCAAAGTCCTGTGGTTTAAGAAGCCATTCTATTGGGCTTAAGTGACAAAGACCCTATAGGCAAAGGACAGTTGGTGACTAACAAAGGGACTTCATTAATAGCTGAGCAATTGCATCGGACTGCCAGCTCACCTGTGCGACTTCAGTTAGTAAAGGCTGCAGCATGAATCTAATCAGAGCCACAGTTTGGGAACATAATTGAGACCTTAGCAGAAGCTGCATGAATCAAGATCAACATCCAGCTCTGCTGTGCTGTCAGCTTTTAGCAATCTAGTGAGTGGGTGCCAAAGCATGTGCCCCAGGAGCAGGGAGGTGGAGAGAAGGGGGTAACTGTGCTTTCAGGGTTACCTTTACTATAACTTTGTAAGGCTTGGTGTTCACAGGCTTGACAGTATGTGATGGGCAAAGGCTACTGCGTGAAAAAACACCCCCCTCCTTTGAAGGACGTGGCTTTCGGAGTACAAAGCAGTTGGTTAGAGATAAGCATTGGAGAGCAGAGGGGTGGACTTTATCATCATCAGTCGTCAAGTGGGAGGTGTGTTGTCGAAAGCAATGAGTGGAGAGGGCAGAGTCCTGCTGTGCATTAATTCATGACATGTCTTGTGTTTCAGGGTGGTGCAAAATCAGATGCCTGGATTGGGTGTGAGGCAAGGAGCCACGTCCACCTGCAATGAGGAAACAGCAGCGTGCACGGGTGTGGAAGGGGCCAGGCAGGCTGATGAGTAAGTAGCAAGGAGGTCCGGAGTGCTTTGAAACGGAGATGCTCAGGCCGCATGTGTGTGTATGCAGGCATGGATTATTCCTGGGGGACTGGACCTACGATGCCTGCATCGCCCTGCCTGCCTGATGCTCCAGGGCGGCAGTGTGATTCTTCCAGGCACGGCTGATGAAAGATCTGGCCCTGCCTTCCACAGTGGGCTGGAGATGGATTTCACCCTGTCCGTTGCTTGTTTCACCAGCAGAAAACTTGGACGATGAGGCTTTCTGGGTTAAAAGAGTGGTTATTCCCACAAGCAGTGACTGACTGCTTTTAAAAAGTGGGGTGTAGGAGCTGTGCAGTATTACCAATGTTAGCAGTCCAAGAACTCCTAAGTAATCCTAGGGTGATAAATCAGAGTGAATGGATCCAGTAGGGAAAGGGTTTTTGCAGTTTCAGACTTGGTACTGATTGCTTTATAATTTAAAAACTGGAGAAAGCAGCTTGTCTGTGTCATCTCAACAGGTGAGCAAACAGTGGTCACAAAATGATTTCACAGCTTGTTGTTAGACTGCTGAACTAAATACTGCTAGGGAGAGAAAATTGCTCTGGAAAAGATAACAGACAAGGTCTGCAACAGCGTGCAGGAAAAAAAAGCACTACTTAGATTTGCGTCACGGAGAAAGGTCACAGAAAGGCTGTAAAATGAGGATCCCAAGGTAGCACTGTCCTTCTCAGTCTTTGTCTTAGCAACACTGGAGACAGTAAGGGGAAAACCTTATTCTTTGGAAGCTGTAGATGGCTGCGGAGCAAAAGTGTGCTCCCCACCAGACAGCTTTAGACAGCTCACAAACTTCTTTCTTTTGGGGTTTCTTCCCTGAAGCTGGCTGTACGCGAAGGCTCTGGTGGCATCCCTGATACCCCCTGTCAACAGGTTGCTTTTAATAAGAGCTTCTAGCCGAGGCTCATGGAAGGCTTTAGCGAGCCGTTTCCTGAGGGAGCCTGGTGCACGATGTGAATTGTGGCAATGGCTCTGAATGTGGCGGAAAAGACTTGTGCATTTTACCAGGCAAGAGCCACCTTGCATGTTTGTGCTGATCTAGGCTATAACCCCTAGCTGGAGCTACGAGGAAGGGAGGTATGTAGGATTCTTCCTGCTGTGGGCGAGTCCTGGAGGGCCCTCCAGGTGTCCATGCCAGTGGCTCAGAGGCCACATCAGAGTTGAATTTCTTGGGAGTTCAAGCTTGTGTTGTCCTTTCAGAGAGGAATGATCATTCACAGGACACTGCCTTGGTATACTGAGCTCTTTCCCCTATAAAAGGAGAAAACCAGACTGGGAAAAGGCCCCAACCTTTTGTGGCCACAGAGGCAGGCAGAGTAGCTTCTCTTCTGCGGTAAAGAGTTCCTCCCTCAAATAAACCCCAAGCGAAGCGGAGACCTCAATTAGTGCTTGAGCAAGGACTCAAGGCATTCCCCAGCACGCATGTTATGCAAGAGTCAGGTTCTGCTGCCCTGATTCCCGTTCCTCCCTGAAACTGCAGGCATTTGGGCACATGCCTCAAATACATGAGCAGTCCCACCTACTGCACTGGTCTGCCCCAAAGCGTCCCACTGAAACAGAGCCAGCAGCCCTAGTTTCACAAGCACTGACACCCACTGGTCCTATATCTGGGGTCAACCAGCAGCAGGAGCGTCAATCAGGCAGTGATGTACCCCTGTCTCGTGTATCTTTAGCTCTTTTCCTGCCTTGATAAAGGATCTATAGGAGAGACAGATCAGGTGCAAGATTAACCTATCGCATTTTTTGACTGTTTAGAAGCTCATTTATGCTAAATCAGAGAGCAGAGTACATTACAGGACCCTCATAATCCAGTGAGATTCCTAAAGCCAGCTTGTTATTTATAAGCTCTCAGGAATGACTGCACTGGACATTTCTTCTCTGCACCTGGACCCCCACTCCTATCACATAAACACCTATGAGGCAATTTATGACTGGGGTCTCTGGGGAAATGCAGCTGTGGTTATGAAACTGCATTCCCCCTGCAAGCTTGGGACCCGTACCATGGCACAGCTCCTTTTCTGCCCAACTCAGATTCCTGTGGCAACGCTTTCTGTCCCCAGGCATGGGAACGGGGCTCTAGCCACAATGTGGGTACCACTTCCTAGTCCTGCGTTGTGAGGAAAGGGACTGGAGGTGCAGGAAGGGGACGGGGTGGTATCGGTGCTGCCGGGCAGCCTGGGGCAGTCGTGGGGAGGAGCAGGTCTGCGGTGCTGCCCTGCATTCCTTTCTGTATGGGCTGGTGGGCAAGACGGGCTGAGAAATGGAGTGGGTGTGTTACACCCTCCTCTACTCCGGGCTCTCCAGCTGCTGCCCTGTGCCACAGCCAGTCACGCTCTGAGGACTCTTGCTGCAAGGCTGGACCTTGATCAGCTGCATTTTTAAAAGCAGGACTCGTCCTTTATCTGCTGGGATTAAAAAGGGATGCTGTCTTAGTTACTCCACAGAATTTAGGTGGTGTAAACAAGTATTTTGAAAACCCCAGGACCAACAACAATCTGTTGCTGTAAGCAAAAGCAAGCACTCTGCCCCGGTTGGGTCCAGGCTGTGAGCTTCACACTGGAGTTTGAGACTCCAAACCCATGGTTCCACTAACCCTGGTGGTTGTGGCTGCACCCAGCAGCTGGTGTCTGTCCTGTGGGGTGCATAGGACTTGCCTACCGAGGGTTCAGATGTGCTTCCAGCAGAGTCATTGCATCCTCTCACTGGTAGAAAAGGGAGAAATGGGAGGACGGGCGGGCAGGCAGAGAGGCTCAGACAACGGTTCATTGGATTAATTTAAAAGTACATTCTTCAATAGGTTCAATCTGTTTCACAGCTTTTTTTTTCTGCCTGCCTGGCTTCCTCTTGCGGGATGGCCACCAAGGTCCCATCTCCACTGGCAGGGCCATGCCAGGGAGCTGTGTCTCAGTCACTCTCGCTGCTGGTTCGGTGGGATGCTGCCCCATGGCCGTGCTGCGGCCTGAGGCAGGCAGGCAGTGCTGCCCTGCCAGCGGACATCGAGACCTTGCTGACGGAGGACACGCTGCGGGCCAGGGGCTGCGTGGGGAACATAATCGTGCCTCGGGGCGCCTCCAGGAGCTGCCAGATCTCCCCTGAGGTGGAGCTGCCCAGATACTCCCAGGGCCGGCGTCCGCTGCTGTCCCGCACCTGCACCTGGCACCCCAGCTGCAGCACCAGCACCTTGATGACGAGCTGGTGGCCGTGTATGGCAGCCAGGTGCAAAGGAGTGTACCCACAGCCCGAGCGGGCATCCACGTCCAGGGCCAGCCCAGCCTGCTGCGCCACTGCTGCCAGCTCCTGCAGGCCTGGCCCGTCACCGTGCTTGGCTAGCCAGTGAAGGACTGTGAAGCCTGACATGAAGTCCCGCTGCAGGGCCAGCTCCGGCTCTTCCAGGAAGAGCCCCCGCACCCGAGCCCAGCACCCTGCTGACACTGCCACTAGCCAGGCGTGCTCCCGCTGCCCCAGAGGCACCGACAGCCCCCGGCTTGGGACATTTCTAGGGGAGCTCTTGGAGAGCATGGTGAGGGGCTGCCGCCTGTGGTCATTTGGCAGCGATGGGGGGATGCCCTGCACCTCCAACAAAGCTAGCTGGCACCTGATGCTCCTGAAGACAGGCAGTGGTGCCGGGGGGCTGCTCTCTGGGGCCTGGGGCCCTGCAGGACCCTGTGCTGGCAGCAAGGACTGGGATGGGGGTGGCCTGGCAGGGGGTGGCTGCAGGGTCTGGGATGGGAGTGGCTGGGTGAGGGACTGTGGTGGGGATTGGGATGGGGGTGGCCTGGCGGGGGGTAGCACCCTAGGACCTGACAGCTGTGGCAGGCTTTGGTATGAGTGCAGCAGCAGGGATTGAGATTGGGTAAGTCCATTGGGGGTCAGCACCCTGGATCCCCTCGGCGGGGATGGGGATGGCCTGGTGGGGAGTTGCTGCAGGGACCTGGACTGTGACGGGGGCAGCCTGGTGGAGAGTAGCACATCTGGGCCTGATAAAAGCGGTGGGGATGCGGAGGGGCTGGCGGGGAGTGCCTGCAGGGACCGGGACAGGGACAGCACCCGTGGGGCGGACAGCAACGGCAGGGACCGGGATGGGGGTGGCTCGGCGAGGGGTGGCTGTTGGGACCGGGATAGGGGCAGCTCGGTAGGGGACAGCAACTTGGGGCCCGATGACAGCAGTGGGGACTGGGATGGTGCGGTGGGGGGCCGCCGCCCTGGGCCTGCTGAGGGTGATGGGGCCTTCGGCGGGGGCGTGCCGGTAGGGTGCTGCGGCGGAGACTGGGGCTGAGGCAGCCTG